TTACTCAAGAGGTAGATTCAATAGCCTAAGCATCAAGCTAATGAAGGACGGATCTTTGAACCTAGGCAACGAATAGCGAAACAATGTGAAGAAGGCGCGTTAGGGTTTTAGAGTCTGTCTCGCACCTCACTTCCTCGTTCACGTCAAGTATTAAGCCAAGAGAAGGTAAATCTTGGTTCAGGATTCAATCTTTTTGTACATCTTTCGTCTTTTAACCTTTTTTATTTTTGGTGATTATGTTATTTTCTCCTTTTTCTTTTATTGGTTTGTGGGCTGAGTTGTGTTTGTTTAGTTTGTTGTAATAGAAAGGCAAGAGACATGAGAATCAATGTTTGATGTGTAGAAGAACAAAAAATCAAAGACCTTTTTGGTATGATGTTGTAATATTCTTTTATCTCCCTTAACCTCTTCAATAATACAAGTCATTCACTACCCTCTCCTATCTATTTGCTCAAAACAGGTAACTCAAATTACTCTATATGCTTTAAAGACATAATAACAGTATAGTTGAGACTATAAGTTGAAAACTTAAAAGAGTAAAAATCTCAAGTATTTTTCAAGAAAGAGATTATCGATAAATCATGTGGTAGGAGGTTTCAATAAACACGAAAGCTACCTAATACCTACTTCACCCATCTCAGTTTTGAGTGTCAATATCAGTGAAGCAATACCTACATTATTGACCTGCAAAGCAAACATAATCACTCAAGTTTTTACAGAATCTTAACCAACGCTCATGAGCCTTTCCTTTATTGGAGATCAATCACTCATGTATTAAGAACAAACTAACCACATAAAGGCATTTGCTTTCTTTTCAAAAGTTAACAGTTAACATCCTAGTGCAAATCCTTTTACGACAAGATTTGCGGCTTTGAGCTTTAAGATGCTGAATTGAAAACCTATTTCAGAAATACAAGTACACGGATCAAGAATTGTAATAATAGTACCAAGATATGGAAGCTAATTTCCAAATTTCGGTTTTCACAATTTTGTAAAGAGTTGTGATGATAGTAGACAGACACATGGAGCCGATGGAAGACAATGTTTTGATTAGAAAGGCCTTGTCTAGCTACGACTTTAAGTTCCTTTTGTGCTATTCAGTTTATGATTTTGAAATGCAAGTTATGTAATTTATAAGTGGTTGATACTAATCATTATTTTTAACTTTTCAATATGCTCTTTTGTTTCTCTCCGAATAAAACAAGTATTCAAGAAAATAATTAAAACAAAGAAGTAAGAGAAAATTGTAAACAATAACAATAAGTCAAGAAGTGGGCACCATGATAGAAGAAGAGACGCCAACACAAAACAACTCAAAAGACACATGTGTCTCTGCACAGTTGTACGAATGGCAATGTACTATGTTATTATTTATTATTCCGGAAAGCTCCACAATTCTCTAAACCAATTTGGATTTTTTCCCCAATAACTCGTTTGGCTCGGTTTGCTACTATACGTATGGGCAACGTATCGACGGAAAAGCATATAAATCACAAAAAAAAAAATTCAAAAGTCAAGTAAATGATTTGGAGTTGTGTTTCGACAAAGACAAGAGCTATATATTTGTAAGTTTGTGAAATAGGAAACTTCGAGGAAGGTCTCTCTATTCGAGATAGAAGACTCTCTCTATACGTACTTCTCGCATGCATGTGAGATGTTTGATCGATCATATTTACGAGATCTTTGTCCATATAAGAAAAAACGATTCTGATGATAATAGTTAAGCTAGTGAGAATATATTCCTAAGCAAATCAAGTGTATATTATACATACCCTGGAACCAGGGGCGGACCCGCATAGAAGAAGGTGGGGGCAGTTGCACCCACCAACCTATTAAAAACTAAAAATTTTACATTAAAATTAAAGTTATAAGTGTCAAAATGGTTAAAGTGCCCCCATGTATTGTTTGAGGTCATGGGTTCAAACCTCATCTTGTAACCTATTATAGAGTTACTAAGGAACTTACAACTACAGACATTTTGGAGTCACGTGTTATAATTTATAGACGTTGCAATTATTACTGGATAATATTAGTGGACCATTCTTGGCCTCTACGTGGTTACGGATATTCTCTTTTGATTCCATGTCCCTTGTCAAAATCTCCAACTACTACACTCTCGTTTGCAACAACCAAACAAACAAAAAGAGTTCTTACATTACAAAATTATATGAATGATTGATGAGGATGTAGTAGTCAATATAGGTTTGTATCAGTGTCAATCATAATATCTTCTAGAATTCAAACTCAATCCGATGTGTGTAGATTATGTGAAAGATTACAACTATATATATTGTCAAATAACACATATATATATATGATTATTGAGGATATTGAAACGAAAAGGATAATAACAAATATATAAGTTAAGAGGATACTGACAAGAAAAACAAAGTATATAAGTTATTATCTCTATCACTCTTAGCCGCTTCCTAGTAAAATCGCCGCTTGGAAGAGCCAAAGGCAAAGCGTTAGATTCGTACGTACGGTACAACAAAAGTGATAACGAGTGATGATGCAATCGCACTGCGACCACTCTTTGCGTCCATACACAATTTTACAAGTTTGCATTAGAACACTTCTCTTCAAGTACACGTGTAGTGTACAACGTACAACCTTCTGTTTTCCTTGTCCTCTCTCTAATTAATAGACATATCTTACCTAAAACGTAACCCACCTAAAATCATGATCAATTAATGTCAAACAAATATCTTCTATCTATCTTAACATTTTTGAAGTACATTTTGTACTAAAATCTATTTTGGGATATAACCTTTTATTTTTAAATATTTGCATAATCAAACCCTTCCTATTTGAATAAATAACAAAACTTAAAAGTAAATTTTGTAATTAAATCACAAGGAAATAGCAAAATTGGAAACAAATATTTATTACATCAAACATTTCCTAAAATCTCTCTTTAATAAACCTAATCTCTCTCCAATATATTTATATAATCTTATTTGTTTTTAATTTATATTATTACAACAAATATATTTATAATAACAATACAATTTTTTTCCACACATTTTACAATTTAAATATTTGAAAACGGATGTATATAACTCAATTAATAAAGGGAAAAATATATGTACAACGTTTACATAAGGTAGAAAATTTCAAAAATAGTACAAACCCATTATAAATATGACTAATATGTTCACAATTACAAATGAGCATGAACTTTGATTTCTCAGGTATCCAAATTTTTTTTTTCAGTTTAATCTGGTTCTTTATTTAAGAAAAATAAAAAATTTTAAAAGTTTCAAACTATTATAAATTTTAATTTTTAAAAAAACAAAAATATTAAAAATATGAAAACTATTAAAAGCTGCAAATTATAATAATTAATTTTAGTTTTATAGAATATTTAAAATATTTAAAATATTTAAACTTTTTAAAATCTAAAAATATAATAATATAATAATATTTTACATAAATATGATTATATATTTCTTACAGGTTGTCTATATTTAAAATCTTTTACAGGTTTAGTTAAAATATAATTTTATAATATTTTTTTTACAACAAAATCGTATCGCGGGTTGACCACACATATCTATGAATCAACTTATAATACAAATTAATAAAATTATATAAAATTTAAATGATATAAATACGTATAAAACTAAACTATATAAGCTAACTACGAAAATGATCAAACAAACAAAAATGTTAAATTATGGATCCGTGGTGTACCACGGGATAAATCCTTGTATATCATAAGTTTGGAACTATCAAGCCAAACTAAAACAACAAATAGTTTTAACCATGATATCTTGAAGCAGTCAAGCAGTTTTGTAATTTCATTAGAGTTTTGATACAGCCATATATGGGTAAGCAACCAAAGAAGTCGTCACTGATTCAATAATCTTAAGCAAAATAATCATGTCAAGATCATGTATATATCACAAATTCTGAATTCCATTAATAATTTCATAATGAGTCAGTTTAAGCATATATAACTTAAGATCCATTCGTTTATAAAATAATCCCTAACCTTAGATTTAACAAAAAAGATCGGAGTGTTACATATCACGTTGTATCAAAAGAGTGGAGTGATTTTGCATAGCATACACGTGTCAACGAGAATTGCAAAATCAAATGTTTAAGCGCCACATAATTTTAAAATATATCTATAGATTAGATCTATATATGCTAAACTTTAGCGATAAAAGTAGACGACAACACTATGCTAAACAAGAAATGTCATTCATAATATAAAATAAAATTATACTATACATCCGACGTCTAGACACACTCTGTACAACATACATAGATTGTCTTAGAAAATATTCTCAAATTGCACACATGATCATCATATCAGTGTCGTGATACCCAAACAATTCCAACCACATCTATATACATTATATCAGTGACGAGCCATTAACCTCCGGCTTTTCCACTAACCACACATGATCATTTTAACTCAACTAAGGATTGACTCAGCCTCAGCCTAGCCGACTTGTATATATCAACTCCGTCAAACTCACATCGAACGACAGACACTTGAACTAGTACTTCAAGCGTAATTCTTAGGATACCAATCAAAATTGTGAAAAAAAAAAAAACTTAGAAGATATCGTAAATATTATGAAAAATTAGTATTTGTATGTAATTCTAAGAAACTTGATTTACTTTCATATAAAAAAGTACAATTCTTTAATAACTTTTTATAGAAGAAAACAACTACATATACTTTCCTAAATAAAACAATCGTAAGCCAATTTTCTTCTTCTAGTCAAACTCCAAGTTTCTATATGTCATCTCACCCATATTATTACTATTGACTCAATACAGATTTCCCAAAAATGACAGCTTATGAAGATATGAAGATACGTATTTAAGCAAATCTACCAAATAAATTTCGTCAAAACAAAGCAAAGAATTTACCACACCCAAAACAAAATTCTAAAAAACGAAAAAAAAAAAAGAGGAAACTTCCGAGAAGTTGCGTACATGGATGGACCCAACATAATCATAACAACAACACAGAGTCGTCGCCACCTATTTATACAAAATTCGACACAACACTAAACAGATGTAAGAAAAAACAAAAAAAAAGTCTCTAAGCCATGGGAAGTATCGTGGAGCCATGGGCGATCGCCGAGAACGGGAACACGACCGCAAAAGGGTCGAGCAGGGAGCTGCGACATGGCAGAACGGCACACAACATGTCTTCATCGTCTCTAAGGAAGAAATCAGACTTGAGACTGATCCAGAAGATCCCATGCAAAACACTCAAGAACGTTCTCTCCAATCTCCAAGAAGTTATTCTTGGTACTAAGCTCACTGTCTTGTTTCTCGCCATCCCTCTCGCCATTCTCGCCAACTCTTACCACTACGGTCGTGTAAGTCTCTCTCTAATTTTGTGAATTAATTTGGTCAACTTGTTTAGTTTTTCATAAATTGCCTTATCTTCTTAAAATAAAGGGTTATCAAAATTTTAACTAAGATTTGTAGATTTAGTGTCCACTGTATTGATCAAGAGTGTAGCAAAGAACAAAATTTATTGTTCTTGTATTGCGTCAAAGCTTTCGTTGGAGTCAGCTAGATACACATTTTTTCGGAGTTACATACATATTTATTTGCGAATATAAATTTCAGTTTTATGATATATATCATACATCTGTCGAATAGTATTAAATGATTTGTCTTGGGAAACACTCTATTTAACGTTATACTAATTTTGTAGTATTATCCTGTACTTCCTAACTCCCGTGATTAATTTTTTTACAAGTTTGTTTTCTTGTGAGAGTATTCATGATTTGTATCTTTGTTTTTCACGATTCTAGTGCATTCTTGCCACGTAAAATTATCCGTTACCTCTATATTAGTCAAAAACAGATAAAGACTGCTTTTATTTTATTTTATTTACTAAAAAAACATTTTCTTATATTTTGTGAAATGTGTGACAGCCTTTGATATTTGGACTGAGCTTAATTGGGTTGACACCTCTAGCTGAGCGGGTTAGCTTTTTGACAGAGTAAGTACTTATCCTCTCACAATTTCATATTACGTGAAAAAATCACGTTCAAGATGGTTTAAAGTTTTGAAACGATGTTGAAAAGCTAATCTCTAGTTTCTTTAACCAATATCTTTAAGGAAGAGACACAAATCAAGAATCATATTTCAATAAGCTAAATTACATTTTAGTTCCGACTTCCTTATAAACATGAGTTCCGACTTCCTTATAAACATGATTGTCCCTTTCATTCGTGCAGGCAACTAGCTTTCTACACAGGTCCAACGGGTAACGTTTTCATCAGACTAAATAATATTATCATCAAACTATATTCATTGTAATCTCCGAATCAAATAAATTAATTAATAAAAAAAACACAACAACGTCGTCACTTTTGGCAGTTGGGGGTTTGTTAAACGCGACTTGTGGAAACGCGACGGAGCTGATAATCGCGATACTAGCGTTGGCCAATAACAAAGTAGCAGTGGTGAAATACTCTCTATTGGGTTCTATTCTCTCAAACCTTCTCTTGGTTCTCGGCACTTCCCTCTTCTGTGGCGGTATTGCCAATATCCGCCGCGAGCAGCGGTTCGACCGGGTACATTATACATCCCCCTCCATTTACTAGACCCGGTTTTAATTAATTCTTATGGTAATTTTTAGTCAAACCGGGAAAACATGGGTACAGAAATGATTGCATTCGGAATCAAACCAAACCAATACCAAATTTAGTATAACCATAGCGGTTTGTACCCTTAAGTAAACAAACTCAGACTTGAACCGGATATAGCCATACCGGTTTGTTACACTTATGTAAATGTTTCTCTTGTTGATTGTTGTTACAGAAACAAGCGGACGTGAACTTCTTCTTGCTGCTTATGGGACTGTTGTGTCATCTGCTACCGTTGTTGCTCAAATATGCAGCGACCGGAGAAGTATCGACCTCTCAGATTAGCAAAATGTCGCTTAATCTGTCGCGGACAAGCAGCATCGTTATGCTTATTGCTTACATTGCTTACCTCATCTTCCAGCTCTGGACTCACCGCCAATTGTTTGAGGCACAAGAGGTACCTAAAACTTAGTATACGTTTATCTTCTCCATATGATGAGTATAAATGCGAATTCTTTATTTAACTATAATCATTTTTCATCGGACTTAGGATGATATTGATGATGCGTATGATGATGAGGTGACTGTTGAAGAAACTCCAGTGATAGGATTTTGGAGCGGATTTGCTTGGCTTGTTGGGATGACACTTGTCATCGCATTGCTGTCGGAGTATGTTGTGGCTACTATAGAGGTAATTTAATCAAGTCGATATATATGTAATATGTTATTGACTTATGAAGTCCCTAAATGAAAAAAAAGTCTCAGATTGTTATATCTTGGTCAGGAAGCATCAGACTCATGGGGACTATCAGTTGGTTTCATAAGCATCATATTGCTTCCTATTGTTGGAAACGCGGCTGAGCACGCAGGAGCCATCATTTTCGCATTCAAGAACAAGCTTGTGAGTTTCCCTTCTTCTTTGCTTTACAACCTTAACTAGAGTATATATGTCTTCTATTGTTTGATTTTATGTTAAGTACGCATTTTATGTTTTCCAAATGAACCCACAATATTGTAATCAAAATTTTTTCTATAACACTTCAACATGTAAATGCAGGACATATCTCTTGGTGTAGCATTGGGCTCTGCAACTCAGATTTCTTTGTTCGTGGTAAGTTATTCTTTCCCTTTTATTCTTTTGTTAAATAAAAGATTGAACGAAATGTTGCATGCAAAAAATAACAAATCTAAAGACAATATACGTTAGTTGATGTGTACGCCTCTTCACAGGTGCCGTTGAGTGTCATAGTTGCGTGGATCATGGGAATAAAAATGGATCTCAACTTCAACTTACTTGAAACAAGCTCTCTAGCCTTGGCCATTATCATCACAGCCTTCACTTTACAGGTAAACGTTTTGCCTTACGCTACTATCTTACTCGAGAAATCTAACACTGAACATTTGTTTGTTATTTGGGATGGTTAGGATGGAACTTCTCATTACATGAAGGGACTGGTTCTGTTGTTGTGCTATGTCATTATCGCTGCATGTTTCTTCGTTGACCAAATCCCCCAGAGTAAGTCAAGTCCCATCTTAGAAGTTAGAACCATTACTGAAAATGACCAAACACTTAAATAATACTATGTGTTTCACAGAACAACTAATTGGAACTATTGTGGGGCTTCAACCCAAGAACAATCCGGGAAGTGGATTTTTCTCAGCTTAAAAATGAAGACTATGTAATATCATCAAATGACTTGAAAACCAAAAACAAATACATGTAAGGGTAGAGATGAGGTTGAATGATTCGTCAGAGACTTGTGTGAGAGATTCCTCAGCCTGAAAATGATGTGAGGAAGCTTCATGAAGATAGGTTTCTGTTTCTGATGTTACAAATCACATTTCTGTTGCTTAATGCTTCTGTTTGTTGGCATCTTATGTAATATCATATGGTTTTTTTTAGTGAGATTTAAAGTTATAGTTTATACATTGATTAAGCGTAAGAAATCATTAATTTCCTATTTAGCTTAAGGTTTAACATACACATCGGTTTGTCTTTGATAGGACTTTGTTCATAGGAAAAAAAGAAGGTTAAAAACGTTTCTGTAAGCAATAAAAGCCCATTTTGATGCGCGTTTAAAAAAGCCCATAAGGCCCAAAGCAATGCACTCGAGCCCTACTGTACTGGCGCCATTTGACGGAAGCACACAGAACGGCTTCTCTTGTTTTGAAACCAAAAAAAAGGAAAAAACCTTTCTTCGCCTTATCTTCTTCTTCCCTCTCAACTCAAAAACCATGGAAGAAGACAGAGCGATTCTCACATTTCACCGTATCCCTTCCCTCAATTCCTCTCTACTAACCTCTTCCCCGTCTAAATCCGGCACCGTACATTTCCGCCGCCGTGTCTGTCACAGCTCCGCTCGCGGAGATGCCGGTTTCGGTAAATTCGCGTGCATTTCAATGGTGGAGAAGTGCGAACAGAGAGAATTCGCTCCGACTATGGCTCAGCTCTTGAACAATCCTCTTGCTATACTTGCTCTTGTCCCCAAAGATGCCGCAATCTTCGCCGCTGGTGCTATTGCCGGAGCCGCCGCTAAAACTGTTACTGCTCCTCTTGACCGCATCAAGCTTCTTATGCAGGTTTTAGCCTTATCTATTTAGTAGAAGATGAATGTGAACCTTGAAAAGTGTTTACTTTAGTATGAATGCGGTTTTGTCTGCAGACACAAGGTATAAGACTTGGACAACAGAGTGCAAAGAAGGCTATAGGATTTATCGAGGTAGGTTTTTGCGTTGATGTTAGTGTATTATGTAGCTTAGTCTTTAATGTTAGAGATGATGCAAGAGTTAAGTGGAAATTGTTTGTTTGCAGGCAATCACTATGATAGCTAAAGATGAAGGAATGAAAGGTTACTGGAAGGGAAATTTACCTCAGGTTCTTTAAAACTGTTTTTGTTCTGAAACTTGTCTGTGTGTGTGTTTGTGTGCTTTATACATGTGGGAGGTTTCTCTTGAGTTATTTGGATTATTGTGAATGTGACATCAGGTTATAAGAGTGTTACCTTACAGCGCGGTCCAGCTTTTGGCTTACGAGAGTTACAAGGTGAGTCTGTGTCATCTTATAGCTTATAAGCATACAAAGTCGCAGAAAATTATGTAGCTTCATGTACTAGAAAACAAGCATAGATTCAAGATGAAATTATGTGTGAAATGACATATTAGTTGTTAGTTTATATGACTGCCTTTAGGAAACTATTCTTGAATGCATTAGCGTGTCACCTGTATTGAAACTGATAACATTCTGCATAAAGCAAGAGTGTGTACACTTTTTTGTTCTGTCTCTTTATTATTTTGTGCCATTTGACTGATGCTTCCTTATTTTGAATTCAGAACTTGTTCAAAGGTAAAGATGATCAGCTCTCCGTAATTGGAAGACTTGCAGCGGGTGCTTGTGCTGGCATGACATCTACTTTGGTATATTTACTGCTTGCCTAAAGATTTTTATCCATTTTACGGCAAATTCTTAAGATCACCTATCTATTGTAGAGCCTAATGCTTTTCTCCAATTGGTTCCATTTCTAGCTCACATCCTTATGATGGCTGAACTGATATATATCTGAAATATAGGCACATAATCCTCTGTCTACTTGATCAATCTGATTCTTGCTTTTTGATTCTTATGCAGTTGACATACCCACTAGATGTTTTGAGATTGAGGTTGGCGGTTGAACCTGGATACCGAACAATGTCTCAGGTGAAATGGTTTTTTATATTATCATTCATGTTCATGCATTTATTGATAGGCATTGTGCAATGTAAACTCTTGCAGGTTGCTCTGAGTATGATCCGTGATGAAGGGATTGCATCTTTCTATTACGGTCTAGGACCTTCTTTAGTAGGGATAGCTCCATACATTGCTGTAAACTTCTGCATTTTCGATCTGTGAGTCTTCTAAACTTTCCTCCTATCTGTTTCTAAGTAATCATACGAAAACAAGTTGAACCAGGCTAATATATCTCTTTCGCCCCATAACTTAAAACAGGGTGAAGAAGTCTTTACCGGAGGAATATAGCCAGAAGGCACAATCTTCTCTATTGACAGCTGTTCTATCAGCTGGTATAGCAACACTGACATGTTACCCTCTAGACACTGTGAGGCGACAAATGCAAATGAGAGGAACTCCATACAAGTCAATTCCAGAAGCATTTGCTGGTAGAGTAATCGAATTCTTGATGCAACTCATTATAGCAAGATTTTTATCCATAGATAGGGTCTATTTACTTACAGCGCATGTTGTGTATTAAGCAAAAGAGTTGAGTATTGAACTGAGTGATCTTTTCTTTACATCTGGCTGTGCAGGAATCATAGACCGTGATGGGCTTATAGGCTTGTACCGCGGCTTTTTACCCAATGCATTAAAAACCCTTCCAAACAGCAGGTTAGACTTCTTAAGCATTCTTAATGCATGTATTTAAACTTCTGATATCAGTTTGATGTTTTGATAATATTATAATCAAGCTGTCTGCTCTTTAAATAGCACTAGTATATGCAAAACACAGTTATATACGCCTTGAGATTCTTTAGGTCTATAACTTGGATCTTTGAGTAAGAAACTCAAATTGCAAATAAGAAGAGGCATACTAATGCATCCGTTGCCGTTTATGTTTTCCTTTTGCAGCATTAGGCTCACAACCTTCGACATGGTAAAACGCCTTATCGCCACAAGTGAGAAGCAGCTTCAAAAGATCACTGATGATAATCGGAGTCGAGACCAAGCTCAATAACCATTTTTGGAATATAATTGTTTCACAATAAAATTTTGGAACCGCTAGGATATCTATGTTTTACTTTTCATTGAGAAGGTTTAATTTCATTAGAGCGAAACAAAGTTTGGTGATTCACTTTACTAGTTCATGTTTAGGAAACGATATGTATATCCGGCAAAATTCCATCGGAAATTCATTACTATTTCAACCACTTTTGAAAGAAACTTGAGAGTCGCGAAATACATTCTAAGGGAGAGTTTAAGATATGTTTTGACTTGGGGGTGATGATCACTAAAGCAGACACTGTTACATTGTTTGTTGTGGAAAAAAGCTGAAACAAAAAACATCCGGAGAGATGCCAACAACTGTTTCGCTTTCTTAGGAAAAGGAAAATAAAAAACACACGATTTTAGATCTATTGTTCTCGACACACAAATTACAGAGTACTTACTTCTGCTTACGGACCTGCGGTTAAGTTTGAGATACAAAATCTGATTTTCATCCCCGATTTAGTCTTCTTCCTCCTCCTCGTCGTCATCATCCTCATCATCATCTTCTTCCTCTTCTTCTTCATCATCACCTACCACTTCTTTCTCTAGTTGCTCTTCCTGCAAGGAAACATTAAGCCAAACATACATCTTTAGAAGACAAACACTCACTACAAGAGAAAACGGGTCATGATAAAAATATACTATATAGAGACACTCTACACACTTATGTAGAACGATTACCTCCCCACTGGCTTCATCTTCATCATTCACCTCAGATCTAGACTTTTCAGATTCATCACTCCCTTCCTCCTGCACTCATTGCAAGGAAATTGAAGTTCGCCAAGTAAAATGTTGTGTAAATGTGAGGTAAGGCGTAGGGTTTACCATGTTTTTGTTGTACGCATCCATTTGCTTCTCATATTCAGCTTTCCTCTTTGCAGCGTTCTCTTCATATGGAGCTTTTTCCTTTGAAAAGAAGAGGTGAAACACATGTCAATGTCACAGTAGACTCCTTTTTAGTTTAAATATCACAACAGAATGTTGTCAAGTAATGTTTTTGGAGACTTTATAACCAATGTTTGACTTTATAGTACTCCATGTAACCATGGATTAGTTTAGTTGGTTTAGGCTCTCGGGTTAAAAAAAATAAAAAACACTTGTTTTCTGCTGAATATCAAACTGAATGTGGTTGCATTAACGAAGTGGGGCAATTCAACTTATTATACTTTGAGATGACTGTGCAGAGCATCCTCTGTACAATAGCTTAGAAGGGATCTTTCATGAACAAGAAGGTTATTTGAAACAGTTATTTATTTTTATTCAGAGTATCAGAGAGATGGAAGTTCCACAAATACTTACAGCTTGAGACATTGACTTCCATTTCTGCCCTCCAGCTTTCCCAACCTTCACAAGGAAAAGAGAAGGTAAGAAGACTTCATATAAATAAGGACTTAAGCACGTGTAAACTTTCAAGGAATCGGCCAAATTCTTACTGCAGAGACGGCCTTCACATTTGGATTTTCTTTCTTGAATGTTACCCTAAAATCTTCTCTGGAACAAGAGGAAACAAGAAACCAGTAAGAAGCTATAGTAAAATATGGAAAAAACTTTTAAAGGAAGTTGAAGTAAATACAAGTGAGAATCTCCCTCCATCAGGGAAAACTTACAGAAAGACAAAGAAAGCACTAGGAGCTCTTTTAGGTTTGTTTGGGTCCTTTTTAGCCTTCTTCTCTTTACGAGTCTCTCGTTTGCTAGCCTTCTCAGCCGGTGCCTTCCTCTTTCTGAACATCAAACATACACCAAAGCTTTTTGGTTAATAATATAACTATTTGACACCAAATCACAAAGCAACACAACAATGCTAAAACCGCTCTATGCAACCAAATCTATAAAATCAACAACGCCTCCAAGCTTAATGATCACCCCAAAATATATTCAGTTACAGCTGAAGCAAAGCCAGATTTGAAAATATACTTAAGAAGACCAAATTCTCATAAGTTACTGCATAAAGCTTAATGGAGTAAACCTGTCATCGGCTGGCTTCAAGGACTCCTTTTTGGCCTTAAGATCTTTCCCCTTTGTTGTTTTCATCGTAGCAACTACAGAACCAACAAATTTAAAATATTTGTCAAGAGCCAAAAAAAAATATAATTTGTCAAATCATAATAAAACAGAGAAAATATAAAAGCCAATCCTATCAGAAAAAAGGAAAAAAATCAAGAAGAGGAAAACAACAGATTGGAAGCTCAAAAAGTAGTAAATTTTCAGCTATAACACTCAAATCAAGGCTAAAGCTCCAAATTCTCCAAAAAAGATAAATAAAAAAATGCAAAACGTAGAAAACTAATTCGACAAACAATATAGAGAGAAAATAAAAAATCCATTACCGTATGAGAAATGGAAAATCTCAGAAACCCTAGCAGAATCAGAAGAAGAAGAAGAACAAAAAGAGACGATCAGAGAGAAGCATAAGAGATGAGGGAGGCCTGAAAGAGAGATGCTTATTACCGGTTACCTGTTAAAACCTAGTATTCGGCTATCACCGGTTAATCAAACGCAAGAGTCCAGTTAAAAGCCCAGGTGCTTTTACCTGCTATAGCCGGTTTATCATAATTCTTAAGGGAAGGTCGTTGGTTTGAACGGTTGCGATCAAACGGTTGCCGCCAAATCATAGATATACGATAAGGATGCGAGTATCCGACCAAAGAAAGGTGTCACTCACGTGCGGTCTTATATGGGCCTGACTTTAATTTAAGATATCGTTTGGATATAGTATGGGCCTGACTTCAATCAATAGCCTTGACCTATTCTGCTAATTAAGTAATTATCAGATTAGTCAAATTTTTTTCTATAAACCTTCACTTCTTGCCACTTCATCTATGGACTCCTTAAACTTGCATTTTTCTTGTATATAAATAATGTTGTTCTGTTGGTGTTTGTTTAATTGAAACTTACATAACATCAAACTAAACCGATATAGCTTAAAATCTAACACACCATTCGGCAAGAAGACGATGTAAACACGCATTTGGATTGTCTTATCGAATAATATACATCAAAGTTGAAAACTGTGTGGAAAAGCCAACAATGGTAAAGAGTAAAACATAAATAAAGAAGAAGTTAACTTGTCTTCACCAACACAAACTACAACTTCTCTGTACTTGTGACCTGTTCACTCACATCCGGGTCTGCTCCGGATGGTGAGGGTGATTTTGGCTTCATATGAGCTGGCGGGTTGTGTTTGAGTTTTGTGAGCACTTGACGCATACGAGACAGATCAGTGGGCTTCCCAGGCTTTGGTCCTTTGATCACATTTATAGTTGGTTTCTTATTCTTCCCTCTGTTCTCTATAACTGGTACTTCACGAGGAATGAGTTCCGCAATCGCCTTCCAACTGTTTTTGTCAGCTTCAGCGTAAAACTTTTCTTGATTCTCCAAAAACAACTGAACAACAACAAAAAAAACATAAAACAAATGATAAGTCTGACAATTCTATGTTCTTGGCCCTAACCTACAACAATCTTGAATGATAGAGATACAAATTAACGAAGACAAATCACCTTCTCTTTCTCGCGGTTAGATTTCTTGTTGTTTTCAATAGTAACGTTACGCTTGCTATAGAACTCAGCCTTGTATTGCTCTGCTGTTTCTATAATTTGCTGAACCATTTCTTTCTCTTTCTTTTCTTTCTCTTCCAATCTCAGAGCATTTAGCCTTGAATACATACACACAAAAAGACTTTATCATATAAGCTAATTCAATAGACATATGTACAATCACATGGACTACACAACCAAAAGATTCCATGTAATTTACTATCTTGTGTAAGCTAAAAGAATCCATGTAATTTACTATCTTGAAGAACAATTTGGTCAACGTATAAGACTTAGTCAATTGCTAAAATAAGGTTTTTAGCAAAATATAAGATTGGTCCAAAACACATGAAAATCTCGATAAAATCGGATCCACATATTCAGAGATAATCTAATTCTTTTATGAAAAAAACAGAGTGGTGAATCAAGTAGAGTATCAAAAAGCTGCATGCACGAAGAAAGCTTTGTACCTTCGCCACTCTCTAAGCGCAAAACCTTCATCTTTCTCCATAACCGATGGAGGCGGCAAGAACGAACCGTTCGTAGCATCGGAACCGTTTATCGACGGCGGAGATTGAGTCTCCGGTAAATCCCCTTGGTTGGACAGAGGAGACGAATCGTCGCCTGGTAAGTCTTTCTCCGGTTGAGCGTCAAAATCGGAGAAGGACGAGTCAAACCGCTGAGACTGGAATCGAGAATCGTAAGCCGTGTAGTTTCCTCCGTCACCTCCCGTAGAAGGGTTTGAGTTTGACTCACCGAGGCCTGAGCCTGACTCGTCGTTGCTCAAAGATGACGACATCTCTCTCCAGTTCTGTTTTTTCTTTTCTTACAAAAGTCTTCTTTGCTCTGCTTTTTGTGTCCGTGTCCACACTAGGTTTTTCGTAGCAAATAATTCATCTACGTGGCGTTTTATAATTGGTCACAAAGTAAAAGACAAGAAAAATGACAAGGATACATCGTGAGCATCGTGAATCCTCTGCCTCTATCTGATTGTACGCTTACGTGTCTTGTTATTTATGTAGCAAAGACGTTCCGTATGATGGACCTTCATGTACAGGATTATTATTCGCGAAATCCCATGAATGTTCATTTAGTCTGATGGGCTTTTATGGTTATTAATTTTTGTGGCCTTTTGTGTTTAAGAAATGCCAAGTTTCAACCGAAGTAACCAAAAAAAAAGTAACCAAAATTTGGTTCTTAATTAAACGATAATCTGGTCTAATTCAGAATCAATTTCTTTCTAGTTCTTGAAAACATCCATAACCCTATAATAAGAGTACATTATATATAGCATGTGGATTTGACTCACAATCAATATTACGAAATGTGTTTCATGTTTTTGTTTTTCCCTGGAGATACGACGAAACTACTTAACAACGAGTAGTCACAAACAAGTTAAACAAAAAAAAGAAAAGGAATTATACGTTGTTCCAAGGCTCTTTACTGGAGGCCGGTTCGGCTTTAAACGTGTGAAGCATGAAGCTACAAGCCTCCACGGCTTCTCCTACCGTTAAGAACATCCACTCTTCGCCCAAATGGTCACCGATAAAGTTGGATCTGGTTAATTTCTTCACTACCTCTCCTTTTGGATTTGCCAATGCTAACTGTGGGATTAAAGATATATAGGGTGAAGTAACGAATTAATGTCTTCACAACCTCTCCTTAAAATCTAATATATGGCGACGTATTATGTTTACCTTTAACGCTCTTCTGTCGATAACTTTCTTAATTTCCTCCATCATGCTTATACCGCTTGTGTCGATATTACCAACAGCTGACATATCGAGTATAATATATTGTAAACTACTTTCTCCTGATTGTTTGACTCTTTCTTCCTCTTCATCGATCCACCTTACGATTCTGTAAAATGTATTGAAAACATAATCAAAACCAATCATATTCCTCTTCATCGATCCACCTCAATTTTGGCATGCATATATGAATGAGGGTTAGGTTACCTTTCACGCAAGTAACTGGCGTTGGCAAAGTAGATGGGAGCATCAATCTCCAAGATGAGAAGACCAGGAACGGTTCTTGAGGAAGGGTACTGCTCAGTGTTCCTATATATCATGCTGTTTGGTATGTTTCCCTTCACCGCCGTTCTTGGCCTCGACACAAACAACAACAACCTTGCTATCGATATGGCCACCTTCATCACGGCAAAAAAATAATAATTAAAAAACACATTTCAAAATGTATTAAAAATATTTTATTAAAATTGTAAAAATTCTTAAAATATCTTCGTAAAATTGCAAGATTGTAAATGCCAAACGCAAATATAAAGGATAGTGAAGTCTAGGTGAATTCTACACTATTATAAGGTATATACTTACTGCGACGACAAGTCCAATCTCTACACTGCCGAATACGACTCCAACGTAGGCGCTCATGCAGACTAGGAAGTCGAACTTATCGACTTTCCAGAGATGGATGGCAGCTTGATAGTCAATCAGTCCGAGCATTGCGACCATGATGATGGCCGAGAGGACTACGAGTGGTGTGTAGTAAAAAAGCGGCGTGAGGAAAAGAAGAGTGAACATAACCGCAATCGCCATCACAATGTTGGACACTGCCGTTTTGCAACCCGCATTGTAGTTCACTGCCGACCTTGAAAACGGTCCTAGTAGCATGGTACGTCGTACGTAAATATTACAAGATTTTCCATATATAGAACATGCATGTACATTGTAATGTGACTAATGTGCATATGTATAAGCCATGTGGTGTGCGTATGTGTAAATGATTACCTGTTGTGAGGTAACAAGATGTGAAGGAACCAACGATGTTCATCATTCCAAATGCTATCATCTCCTTGTTCCCGTCTATGTTGTAGTTCTTAAACATTGCAAAGCTCCTCCCTACAGCTATTCCTTCCTGCATTTTCACAAATGAATATTGTTATATTTGGATGAGTTTTCGCTTACACTATTCATAATCAAAATCGTTTACTATGACTGTATTGTTTGCTTGATTTGGTTAGTTTTCTTAGATTTAATTAACTTAGTTAGAAGAGAAGTTATTTCAGCCTCAAGTATAAGCCCTTTAGGTAGTTTGTTAATTACTACTTGCTATAACAAGCACATACAGTATGTAATAAGATAGAACATATACAACATTTACCAAAAGTTAATGAGAAAGTACACAATAAGCAAACTTTCGCCTTATTTTATATCTTGGTTATCACTCTCACGCGTCAAAACTTCATATCGTAAGCTTTATTTTTTTAACGTTATATCCAATACTTACAACTAGTCTCTAGCTAGTTCCATATATATAATAACACGTCTATAGATCTAACTTTATGTATATAACTTAGAAGAAAGAAAGAAAGAAAGAAAAAACAAACAGAAAAGGGGTGATGAAGGGGCATACAGCAAGAGCAATGATGCCAGTGATGAGGCCAGTCTTGACAGCTGTGGCCATGTAAGGCGAAGTAAAGATGAGATCAGAAACGGAGAGTGGATTCAACCCTTTCTTCAGGTTCCCTATCTGCACAATCAATCAGTCATTACACGTTGCTTTATTCTCTTTATCACTCCTCTCCCTTTCGGACAATATATACTACAATAAGACCCATTCTTTTTCCACACAATATCCTTTCCCATTCAACCTCATGCTTCTTGTTCCTTTTCTAACCATAATATTCTACCTAACTTATTTTCCTTTTTCCTACAATAATTAATGTTGCTTTTAGAATTTGGTGAAATTGTAGACATACACGCTATGTATGTGCCTTCAGTTAATCGAGAGTATTTTTTTGTTTATTTATTCTTGTTTTCAAGATTTTGAAGATATAAGGTGATCTAAGATAGAGTAAATACCACTTGAACACCATGTCTCTCAGCGTGAGTGAAGTAAACCAAGAGACTTCCAAGAACCACTGAGGTCAAAGGAGCCATCGCCGCCACCCAAAAGAATTTTGGTTTCTTCTTGCTCTGCATCATCATATTCGTAACTAAAGCATTAGTTACGTTTTTCGTTACTATAGTGTAACTTTATTACATATTTAAGGATTACTTCCAATCTCATCATAATTTTGTATTCTTTCCAAAGAAAAAAAAGATTGAAAAGGACGAAGAGTATAAAGGAATATTAGAATTATACGAAAGATCATTGTAGCGTGTAAGTCGAAATAAATGATAACACTATTAGACGAATTAGTTATGTAGTCGGTAGTCCCTTATTTAATTGATAAAAAGGTAGAGAAAAATTAAAATCTTACGAAATATCTGGTGGAAAGAAGAAAGAAGAGGAAACCACAGCCGAGAACGCCACTCTCCCATCTCCACTATACAACAAACAAAACAGACAGAAACACATGTTTAATGTTTTGTAATAAATTAATACTATGATTATTGCAAAAACAGGAGACTTTAATCATCATCGGCCTTGGGAATGAAATTTTGGATGTACTACTAAAGTAAAGTATTGATATAATTAATTAGTAATAAGGACATAACGGAAAGGAGAGACACCTGGTGAATTTGGGAGAAAACAGAACGCATGACTGAGATAACATCGGTGGCGTCTGTGAAGTGTTTAAGTCCAAAGATACCCTTAAGCTGTTGAAGACTCACCACCGTCGCTGCTCCTCCCATGAATCCTACTATCGTTGCATGCGATAGAAAATCCACTATGAACCCTAACCTACAATTTCATTTTCATCATTTGTCTTTGTTGAGTACTACTACTAATTTAAATTAACGATCAATTACTATCAAGTTTTCATTATTGATCAGTAACACATATCATATCATGATTCATGCATGATGATCAAACACTCACCAACCTCAGTTAAAGCCTGTAGGTCCTAATCTATTTCTGGCCAGATATACCGAAATTTTGGGGAACCAATAAAAGATTCTACCTTATAATAATACTTATATCTATACGTCACACAATTGATCTCTCATGTTCTTTTCAATCAATCACGCTATGTATATTTTAGTATGATTCTCCACTGTTGCATTTATTTTTATTAAACCGATCATACCACTCAAGTAAGATTTTCTATAGTTATCGTCTAGCTTTATCCTTATATATTGGCTCGTTTGTTACCAACCATGTCTTGTTTCACGTGACGTAAACACGCGATGACGCATTTATTTTCACTCATAGTAGTGTGGTGTTTGTGAATTATTGTAGGATATTTTTTTTTATTGTTCACGTAAAAAAAGATAGAAGAAATCAACATAAGATAAAAGTTACTGTTTGGTAGACATTTTTTTTTATGCCGGAATCGTTTTTTCCACATGCTTTGGGTCCAAATATATAACTCACACTTTTACACGAGTAAAACCATATATACGTATAAAAGACAAACAATGTAAAGTAAAAAAGAAAGAACCTGAAAATGCCGAGAGAGGCTTCGAGAACGCCGGCGAAAAAAGTGGCGGTGAAAGCAAGGTGAAGGTAAAGCTTAGGATCTTTCTCAGCATCGACTTCTTTGCTCAGCATCGCACCTGTCAAAAGAGACGCAACCGCTACCGTACCCACCGCCAAATCCTTTGAACTCCCTAGCACCGCGTACAGCAATGGTGGTACAAAACTCGAATCTAAAACGCAAAAACAATATAAATAAGTACACAAGCATAATTCAAGAGTTTCGTTTTTTTATTTAACTCAAAATAAAATTTAAGAATCTTGAATACAAAAGCTATTTTTAAGAAATTAAAGCAGTTAGTTATTAGAATAAAAACTAAGAGTGAGTAAATGAGGCTTACAAAGGCCAAGGATGGGGGGCAAATTGGCAAGTTTGGCGTAACTGATGCCCTGAGGGATGGCAAGGCTAGCGATGGTGATTCCGGCGATGAGATCTGATTTAAAGAACTTGAAGTTGTAGTGTGG